CTCATTTGTTTTCATATTTTCAATTGGTATAACTCAGAATGGAACCTCTTTTATCTTATTGGTGATTATATTACTTGAGTAACATCTGTATATGTTAATGTTCAAAGTAAGTATGTTAATATACCCGGAATTAGCAACATTAAACCTTGGGAGTGCCCAGGTAATATACTAATTAGTAGGTATAACCTCTCTAACTTTCTGCTCCACATTTCAATAATGAAGCATATCTCAGCTCTGTTCCCATGTAACTCCTGTTGTAAGTTCTGTGAACCTGTCAGTTTCACTGAATGAAGTTATGCCACAGAAATGATCAACTATACCTTGTTAGGACTATAATATAGTCCCCTCCAGTTTCCATTTAGAGAAATAATACTGTACACATCCAATACATTTCCTCTATAATATCCTTCAGCTTCAAGGCACATGTTTGCACTTTCCTCTTGTTAAAATTGCAGACGAGAATAATTTTGATTTATTGGTGACATCTAATATAGCTGTGTTTATATTGTTGCCAATAAAATGACTTACATGATTGGTTTTTGTTTATACAATCTTTTCTGAGGAGTCAGTCACCTGTGTTAGGACAAGGTACATTCTGCTTATTAAAATGAACTCCTGGGATCTAAGAACATTCAGCTCTATCTGTCCTTGATTGAATTGCAAAATGTGCTCCACACTGCAGCCGTGCATGAGAATAACTTATATTATCTATCAATAGATTTTTCATTTCTATATTCTTCTGACTACAAAGGCTGTAACCAGAGAAGCCCATGAGAATAGCATGGCCTATTAATGATCAAGGCAGCCATGCTGAAAAGGCAGCATTAATGAAATTATACAATCATAAACCCAAAGAGAAAAAATAACAAGAATCAATAAAAACTCGATTTTAGATGGCTTAGACATACATATACATTTCCTAAGTTCATAAAGTGAACGCACACACACACACACACACACACACACACACACACACACACACACGAAGCAGATTTAGGAGCAGTTTGTTTGCTGACCACTATTTTGTGCCTCATTATCATGTTTTCTATGCAGGATAAGAAATGCTTGTGGCATAAGAAGAGGAAAATGTAACAAAGGCTAAATGTAGCCTAAGGAAATGAAATGATGTATGAAAATTAATAATTAACTGGCTCATCAGTTGAATTATGACTCTAGATGAGTCTATTAATGATATTTACTAAGAAAGGGCCTTTGGCTGTAAATAGGCATTATGGAAGTCGTGTTTTTGAAATTTTCTTGAATGGATGAGTTAACATTGCTTTTTGTTTGTTTAATCTTTTGATCTACGAGGAATAGTGCCTGGAGCCTTGAGTGGAAGGTAGGGTCATGATTTTATATTTTGATTAAAGTCATGCTTTTTCAGAAAACTAGTGGAATTATTAAATGGTTTTGTGCCTTAGTTTCCTTAGGGGTTAAGTAATTTCCTCTCTGACCTGATTTACAGGAGTGTGTTTTAAGAGTTTCGAAAGTGTTTAAAAGGAAAAATTTATTAACTTTCATGTTTACTCATATTAGTAGAATGGCCATTTTCATTGTGTGAACCAATGGAGTAGTAAAACTCTAAGTATGTCAATGTGTCAGATCCCAAATACCCCAAATTTATATTTCTGAAGAGTCTTTTCTTTTTCTTTTTCTTGTTTCTTTTGTTGGTAGCCTGGGATAGAATAGTTGAATGGAGGACAGAGGTGAAGATGCTGGATAGTCTGATCAATTTTTTAAATAGAAATGTTATTTTTCAATGGAATTCTTACCGGTTAGTTTTTTGATACTGATTAGTTGTAATTTTACTTTTTTGGGGGCAGTGTAAAAAAATACCTAACCCTAAAATTCATTCTTCTTGGTTAGTATTGCCTATTAGCACGTTGTTGAAGGGAAAGCCTTTCTGTCAGTTTTTTCTTGGATGGAGATGATGGAAATTGCTGTTGTTTTTGCTTTCATGTCTACCCAGTCCCCCTAGATTTAAGTGCTATTAGTATAAAATTTATATATTTATTTTTGATTATGGCAACTGGGTGTTTTAAAATAATCTTTCTTATTTAAATTGTCTGAAATAAAAGAATTTCAAGAGACCATAGTGAATATATTCAACCTCCTCAACCTTTTATGGCTGAAAAGCTGTAAGTCCCAAGAAGTAATAAATTATTTTCCAGAAGTAGAACTCAGATACCTTGACTTTTTGTGTGCTCTTTTCACTCTGACTCTGTATGTGTCTTTCTTAAAAGTTGGCAGTATATCCTTTTTTCTTACCAAGTGAACTTAGAATTATATCTTGATCATCGTTTGGCCTAACTATACAAATTTTATAAATAGATAAAATTGATTTTTATATTCTGATATTTAATGCTGGAAAAATATGTTGGCACAATTAATGTGAAAACTGGAATACTAGGCATATTTTCATGTATAGTTTCTTTTATACTTGTCTTGAGGCTGGCTTTGCTCAGTTCACATACCATTGGCCTGTTGGTTTTTCTTTATGGTATTAACACTGTACTTTCTGGCTGCTGCTTTTTCAGTAATAAAATTTAAGTGCATTTTGTTGTTGTTTTTACTTTTAACCTAAAACCATTTAAAGCAGGAGTGCAGTTTATAAAAAATAAAAATAAAATAAATATTCAGTCCAAGACGGGCAGGTGTGAGTGCCTGATACTTAATTAAGTTCTCAGTGCTTTAATTATTTTTCCTTCTTGCAGACTCACCTTCTTAATGATTGAGCCTAATGCTAAGTACCTCCTTATGTGTTTTTATCCAGACTTTTGATGAGAATTCCTGCTTGTATATGATCTTGCTGCCAAAAATGACTCCCTTATTTTTAAAAACCTGGAAATGGGCACAGTCTGCAAATCTGCAGACACTTGTCACTTGGACCATGATCTTAGTGACTCATATTTCCAGTCATGTTGAACAATTCTTCATTTTCAAAAAAATTGCCAATATGACACATTTCTTTTGCCCTTTTTTGGTTGCTACTGAATAAGCGCTTTCTTTTGCAAGGTTCAGAGTGCTCAGAAAACACTATTTTATCAATGGGTGGAGAATAAGATGGCCAATTTTATCAGAAAAACTACAGAGACATTAAAGGACTCTTGCTCATGATCAACCAATGAATGAATCAGCACACTGCTGGTAACACACATGATTTCTCTTAGATGGACAAAACATAAAAGGTATTGGAATTTTTCCAGTGTAAAAGAAAAATACAACCACTCTTATTTCAGAGTCTATTCATTACTGTTCCATAAACAAACTTAAATGATGCGGGTTTGGGTAATTTGGACTTATTTGTCCATTCATTGGGACTGTAGTGGAGGGGAGGGCAGGAGTGAGTCTTGACTTAGAGGACTATGATTGAGTGTTTCCTAGGACTAGATGGCATGGCAGTATTAAATGTCATGGACAGATGGAATTCTTAGTAAAACAGAATTGGTAAAAATGAAGAAAACTTTCCAAACTTTGTGTTATTAATTATTGTTGGAGTTCCTCAACATAGGCATGTACAGTAAACTTTGCAGAAGGCATAGTGAGTGCTTGAATTGAAAATTATGCATTTTTGATTTTATAAAATCAAAATGTTATGTTGTGACTCCATGTAGGAGAACTCGTGTGTTATCCAGAGAAAGGATTCTTTCTCTGGTTGATCATGATAAAGAGTCCTTTAATGTCTCTGTTGTTTGTCAGATGAATTTGGTTGTCTAGTCTTCATTCATTGATAAACTAGTGTTTTCTGAGCACTCTAAATTAGAAAGCATTTATTTTTTATTTCCTAAAATAAAAAAGAAACTCTTCACAAAAATTTTCACTCCTTGTTATTCTTTCCTTGATGGTGTATGGAGTCATTTGTTTGGGAGTTGAATTGAAAATATTTGCCCAAGACTTTGAGTAGATCATATTTAAAAAAGTAGGAATCATCCAGCTGGGAATATCTGGTGCTACTGCCTCATAATCAGTATTTTTTTGTATTTGCTCAGCTTTGGCTTTTTCTCATGGCTATCATGTTTATATAGAAGATTATTGTGACTGTGTCTGTCATACATTTGGAGTAGTGTCACAGCCATGCCACTTAGCTACCTCATTGCATACATTTTGGGGAGCTGTTGGTCAAGAGAGGAAAGGGCCTTCCTTAGTGATTTGGAATTGTAGAGTACTGACATCATCACCTGCGAGTAGATGATGATGTCCTGTGATCATGTCAGGACATCATCCTTAGTGATAGGAAGCTTAGTGGGACAGTTCATTTTTTAGGAAGGGCTGTTCTTTATTTCATAGGTATTCTGCACAGCTTTTTCCTGTTCTAGGATCTTGATGGAAGGTCACAGTATTGTAGTATTGATTCTATTTCTGTCCTTATAACTCAGGATTAATATAGAACCAAGACTCTAATGCTGCTGTGAATATTTGAATATAGGGTTATATGAAAACTTTGCAATAGTCCCATGCCTGGATTTTTATATTCTGTAAATATTGGAATTGTGGAAATAGTGGAGTGAAAATCAGAGATGGTTTTATGTCCCCATAGTCTTTTTTGGAGGCCATGTCTGCTTTGTGTTTGTTTACTGGAATGTTTGAAGCATTGGTCTTGGAGCTCATGAAGGTGGTGCTTTTGGGTTTCCCAAGACCCATTATAGCAAAAGTAAATTGGTATGGAAAGATCCTTTAGGGAACAAAGTAGGTTTTATTATTTATTTGCAAGCTGGCACCAGTTGATTGGTTGTAGTTGCCAAGAACACCGTATTGAGAAGGGCTCAGTGGCAAACAAAACAATGCCATGATCCATAATCCAAGTTTAGCATGAATGCAGAAGGGGAGGGCCTTTTGCCTGCCAATGAACTGTGTATTTGATGACCCTTCTCTACATAAAAGGCCATTTTGCTAAGAGTGCTTCTTTTCTTCCTGATATGAATGCTACACAGGTTGAAAACTCACTGTATCTAATTTTCGTTTTTACTTTTAAAAATGCCTGCATTTATTTTTTTAAACAGGCTCATAACCCTCACCATGGATAACTTATTGGACTTTGCCTGAAAGGAGTCATTAGTGCCACTGGATATTTGACCACCCTGGCCACAGGTTTTTCAGAATGAATGGAAGGTCATGCAGCATGAATCTCCACCGGACATTGGTAACCCCACAGGGGCCTGGGATGGTCAGTGGCCAGCACATTCTTCCCATTCGAGCCCACTCGGGGACTCCTGGCCCCTCGCCCTGTGGCAGCACACCAAGTCCTGCTATTGGAAGCCTTGCTAACAGCCTCCCTCTCAAGATGCCCTCGGGAAGAGGGATGGCTTCTCAGAACAACATGACTGAGAGCCCCATCCATCTGCCTGCCTTGAGCCCCAGGAGACAAGTGCTCACCAATGGGAAGCCGCGATTCCAGGTCGCCCAGTCTGGAGGCATGTCAGGGTCACACACTTTAAAGCCAAAGCAGCAGGAATTTGGAAGCCCTTTTCCTCCAAATCTTGGGAAAGGTAGGATTGTCTTTCTGGGATTTTTTACAGATGGAAACTATTTTTTTTTTCTCTCCTCAGTCTCTGCCAGCAAATCCTATGGAAAAAGACATGATTTGATGTCAGGGTCAAAGTTGATGGTTTCATAATGATATATAACTTACTGGATGAGGGATGTGTGTGTGTGTGTGTGTGTGTGTGTGTGTGTGTGTGTGTGTGTGTGTGTGTGTAGGGAGGTGCTGGGGGCAACGAGACTCCTCATGGGATTGTGGAACAGAGTTGAAAGTCTGACAGAAAGATCAGAAATAGGTTGGGTGGTGGTGGCAGAAGGATAAGAGCTAGTTTAGCAAGATCTTGCCTGGCTCCTTGGGAGCTGAATTCTGCAGGTCATGGAGGAGAAGGATGACTGAAACTGTCCTTATGCTAGTGCTTGAAGAAGGGTGGAGTTTGGAAGGAGTAGAATACAAAAGGCAGAAGTTTTAATAACCAATGTGATGGGGAATCAGTACATATCAATGATAAGGAAAATTATTTTAAGAGCAAAGTCCATAGTTTTTATAATACAAGAAGGAAGCAAACTAGATGAGAATAATGAAAAGATGTATTTTGTGCTTGTGAACAATTGGAAGACCTTGTTAATTTGAAGTGCAGAGAGAATGTGCTTTTAATTTAATAGTGTTTGAATTACCATATATTTTAAATTAAAGACTAATTGTTGGTAAATTGCAAATTATTTGAATGACATATTCTCTCTAGAAACTGATGGTGACTTAATGAGTTTGTGTTGTAGATGATCTATGTATTTAGGCTAAAAGGAGAAGGAACATGCATCCTATGTAAAATAAAGCTTTGCTATATACAGCAGCACAATCATATATTCCTTAAGGTGTTTTTTAGCATTTAGTCTTAAATGTTTGTATTGAAAGTACTTACACCACCGAATAGATTTATTAGCAGCCTTTGGAATAACCATTCACCCAGTTAATTAAGATGAAAAATTATTTATATCAGGTAAGTGACCAAAAAGTAGTTTGTTTTTAGTGTCTATATTTCTGTGTATGTGAAAATTGTTATAAATGGGTAAATTAAAAACAACTCAAACCATAGTTTTAAAATTTATTTGTTAGAGTCTTCATTTCTTTTTAAATTTGTTTTTGGTCTAGATTTGGTTTTGAGTTATTTTGTGTCTTATAGATGTCATATTTAGTGTAAGCAAAAGTTTCCCTAGAGGCTACATTCAAAATAGCTTTCTTATTGTTGGGTTACTATGTCCATGGCATGGCAAGCTAGATTTCTTCATATTAAACTCAGATGTTTGGATTTTCAGGGATTGATGCCCAGTAAAATCTTTGACTTCATGCTTGACTAGTGACTGTAGGTTACCTTTATATGTACTTATATTTGCAATCATAACTGACAGTAATAATGGTGATCATATTAATAACTTGCTTTTATTATATCATAACTCAGCATGTATCAGGCACCGTGTTAAGTGCTTCCCAATATGTAATCTTAGTAATTCCTCACAACAGCCCTGTGTTGTATGCTTTGGTTGTTTTAACTGATAAGGGAGCTAAGTTCTAGAAAGAAAAAGTAACTTCAGAGTCACCAGCCAGTAAGGAGTTTGGGAATATTGCTTTGGTAGTGACTATAATTATAATCATGTTCTAAAAAGGCTTCAGGTACTTAAAGGCTAGTGAATTCTCAGGGCCAATACAACTTGACATGTATGTCAATACACATGACATGCATGCTGCTTCCTGATTCTCTCCTCTGCAGCTTTCCAGTTTCTTGCAGTTCCTTTTAGCATTTGGTCTTACAGAGCCATGGTTGAGGGCAAGTGTAATATTATCACCCCTGGTGTTGGAGATTAGATATCATCAGTTGTTTGGATGATGCCAGAAGAGGCTGGATGTGTCCTTTTCAAATCTTGGTTGAGCATTCCTAAACTTAGCCAGTTGAGGATAGTGATCTGGAACTGTGTAAACTTTGACCATTTACTCAGCATATAATTATTGGGCATGTATTATGGGTTTTGTATTATGGCTACTGTTCTAGAGATCCAGTAGCCAATAAAACACAGTCCTTGTCCCAGGAGTTGGAGGATTCATACAAATCAATGGACAGTTAAAATAAAGCACAGTGCTGGGTGTGGTGGCTCACACCTGTAATCCTAGCACTTTAGGAGGTCAAGATGAGAGGATTGCTTGAGCCTAGGAGTTTTGAGACCTCATCTCTTAAAAAAAAATTGGCTGAGTGTGGTGGTGTGTACTTGAATGTGGTGGTGTGTACCTGTAGTGGGAGGCTGAGGTGGAAGGATCACCTGAGCCCAGGAGGTCAAGGCTGTGGTAATCAGTGATTGTGCCACTGACCTTCAGCCTGAGTGACAGAGTAAGACTGACTAAAAAATAAATAAATACAGCACAATAAGGGTTGTGATAGGGATACACTAAGAGTGATATAACAGCATTTGAGAGGGGTTCCTGGCATGTGCTGGGTAGTGGATCTGGGAAGAGAGTAGAGTGTCTAGGCAGACACCTGAAGAGTGAGGAACTAGCTTTGTAATTGTGCCAAGTGCATGTTCTGTGTGTGTGTGTGTGTGTGTGTGTGTATGTGTGGGCATACACACATGTGCATGAAGGGGGATGGCTGTAACTTACTCTGGTTAGGGAGAAAAGTGTACTCAAACCCTGGAGGAGAGAGATCATGGACTTCCACCTGGTTCTGTGTGGGTGGGAGTGTGGTGGCTGTGGTAAGAGGTGAAACGGGAGAAGAATAAGCAGAAACCAGAGGAAGGATCATGAATGACATGCTTCGGAGTTTGGATCTAGGAGAATGCTGGTGGAACATGGAACTCTGTGGATGTATTAGTTGGGCTTCTCCAGGAAAACAGAGCTAATAGGATGTATATGTATGTGTGTCTCAAACACACACACACACACACACACACACACACACACACACACACACACACACACACACACACACAGATTTATTATAAGGAATTGGCTCATGGGATTATGGAGGCTAACAAATCCCAAGAACTACAGGGTGAGTCAGCAAGCTGGAGACCCAGAAGAGTGGATGGTTTAGTTTCAGTGCGAGTCTGAAGACCTGAGAACCAGGAGAGCCCACAGTGCAGTTCCCATCTGAAGGCTACCAGGATCAAGACCCTGGAAGAGCCAGTGTTTCAGTTTGAGTCCAAAGGCAAAAAAAAAAAAAAAAAAAAAAAAAAAAAGCTGATGTCTCAGTTGGAAAACAATCAGGCAGGAAATAATTCTGTCTTACTGGGAGTAGGGTCAACCTTGTTGTTCTCTTCAGACCTTCAGCTGATTGGATGAAGATCACTCACATTTGAAAGGGCAATATGCAGTCCACTGATAAAGTGTTAATATCATCCAAAATCATCCTCACAGAAAAAACTAGAATTATGTTTGACCTAATAATGGTTGGGAGCCCTGTTTCCCAGTTAAGTTGACACATGCATTTTAACCATCACAGTGGGGGTATCATTGCTTTGGGGCAAGGTGTAGTTTACATGGTGCCTAAGAAAATGCATTTTTCTAAGCCTTGAGCAAGATTATCAACTCTTAGGGACACCAGGAAGCTGTGTACAGAGAATATAAGTTACCTAAGGATTGTTAGACAGACAAGCATCTGACATAAAGATTGGAGAATCTCCACTGGAAACCTGATGAGAAGTACAAATTTGAGAATAATGTTTATATTACTTAAATGTTGAGTTCTGCTCAACTGGAAGCTCAAATGACATCATAGGATATGGTTAACATCATAAGGTATGGTTTCCAAACAATGTGTAAGATTGCTGGGGTGCCACAGTGAACTTGGGTATTTTAAATTCTGAAAGAAACAAAGGGATATAAGACATTTTTTGGAAACCGGGCAAACTACTAGCTCGAGGAGATTGACAGTTTTAACATCAAATTGCACTGTGTTCCTTTAGGGGATATCACACTTTAGGAAAGCTCCGTTTTCCGTAGTTGTCAGTACCTTGTACACCCATGTTCATGGCAGTGTTTTTCACAAAAGCCAAAAAATGTGGAAGCAACCCACATGTTTATCAGTGGTTGAATGGATTAAAAAAATGTGATATATACATACAATGGAACATTATTCAGCTTTAAAAGGGAAGGAAATTCTAACACATGCTACAACATGGATGAACTTTGGCACCAGTCACAAAAGCACAAATATTACAAGATTCTTCCTTAATGAAATTACTGGAGTGGTCAAACTTATAGAGACAGAAAGAAGAGTGGTTGCTGGGGGCTGGGAGGAGGAACAAGAGAGATTAGTATTAGATGGACATGGAGTTTCAGTTGATGAAGATGAAAAAGTTCTGAAGATGGGTAGTGGTGATGGTTGCATAACAATATGACTGTCCTTAATACATTGAACTGTACGCTGACAAACAGTTAAGATGACAAATTTTATGTTCCGTATATTTGGCCACAATTTTTTTTTAAATTTTAAAATAACATTTTGTTCAGGATGAAAAGCTTACCAAAAATATGTTGGATACAGCAAAAGCAGTGTTTGAGGAAAATTTGTAGGACTACATGTACATATGATAAAAGAATGAAGATTAAAACTCAATTACATAGATTTCTACCTTATTAAGCTGGAGAAAATGGAACAAGAAAGCCTAAATGAAGCAGAAGAAAAAAAATGCAATTTCGAGCAGAAATTAAGACATTGAAAACAAAACAATGCAATTAATTAAACCAAAAGCTGAATCTTTAACTAGATAATACAGCTGATAAAACTCCAGTAGGATTAAAAATACAAATTACTAATATGGGAAATGAAAGAAGAATCATCGAATACTATGAATACTTCTGTGTCCACAAATTGGATAACTTAGATGAAACAAACCAAATCCTTGAAAGGCACAAGCTACTACAACTCACAAAAAGAGAATAGATCATTTTAACAGGCACAGCTTTAGCAAAGAAATTTAATCTGTTATTAACCGCATTCTAAAAATGCAGGCCCCTTGC